GTTGGTGTTGCTATACAACCTCGTATAACAGACTTACTCGCACATGTTTTGTCAATCCTTCTGTACTCAGAACTTACTTGTATCTATTTCACTAATCTTTTCATATGCAGATTTCCTTTCCTAGATCAGACGTTAACCAGTATGACTATTGAAATCTGTACTACTTTATCTAACTTGGAATTTTTACCATGCAGGTCCCCTGCTTATAGATCTTATCAAGATTTATTCATGTAATGTTACACCTCACTGAACACCCTGTTACACTTCTAATACCTTGATTAGTATTAATGCAATGTGATTTACAGGGTTGTAACTTCAGAAACAGGCAGAGTTTACCATAAGTTGGATACAGATATCTAGATAATTATTCAATTCTGTATACAGTGAGATTTGAACTCTAGACCTCTTGCATGGCAGTCTAGCAATCTAACTACTACACTAAGATCGCCAGACCTTTATTTAAGACTTAAATTCAGCTAAATATATAGTTTTTGAACAACATATCTTAAAGTCTACTATCAGTAATAGATAGGTATTTAGATAGACTGAAGATCCTGAGATCATTGCATTTTTCAAATTTCTAAATCTAAATCTAAAATTACCTGGTTATCATATACTTAGTAAATATGTACTATTATTGTATAGTGAAGAATAGTAATACTAACATATTGTAGAAGCTAAAAAATATGAAACTAGTAATACTCTTATATTTGATAGTTAGAAAAATACTAGTTTTTAAGAAATTTTAGGAAGCATTTTAATTACTAGTAAAAGAAAAGTTTTAGTTTGGAGTATAGAAGATATTTTAGTAAAAGATAATAAAACAAATGATGTTATAGAAATAATTAAAAAATTTTTTATATAAGCTAAAATAGAAGGTATTAAAATCATTACTATTGTTACAGATAGTGTTTCTGCATATATAGTAGCAAGGTAAATATAATTAAAAATCATATTAATATATATATACTATATAAATAAAAATAATTATTTAATTTTTATTTAGATGTCAAATGTGACTAGAATATACTTATTAGATTTTTATTCTATACTTCACTTATTAGGCAAATCTTTGTATAGCTGATATTTTTAAATCATCAGTTAAATATAAAGATGCATCAACAAAAGCTATTAGTATTGTTGCATATTTTACTGATAGTAGACATTCTCACTGGATTAGTAAATTGTGTGAAGAGCAATAAAAAATATATAAAAAATACTATTGTCTTATAAGACCTATAAATACTCGCTAGAACAACTACTATTTTTGTTTTTTCTCATTAATTCGTAATAAAAAAGCTTTAAAAGTATATATATATTATATTTTTTTAAACTATTAATTTTTACTTTCATGAAACCAATCTTCTTGAAATACTATTTCCTTGATATCACATAGAGTTAGAATTAGCATTTTGTTAATTGTAGATATATATTTTTAGTAAATTCTCACCTGTATGATGTTGAGTAAGTATTATGTCAGAGAAATAGCTTTTAGAAAATTATACTGTAATATTCTTAAACTTTATTAATAATTTTATACTAATGCTAAAAAATTAAATTAATAGGTTCTTTATTTATAATATTAAGATTTACCAGAAAAAATTGCAAAATTTTTAGATAATAATAATTGGTAGCAAACAATTGAAGAACTTGAGTTACATATGTTTTTCTTTATAGCAACATTAAATCATCTTAAATGAGATACTGCACGGTTACTAGATATTCTTTATTCATTTGCATATTTTATATAATTATATAAAAATAAGTCTAATAAATTTAGTAAAAATATAGTTCAGCATTTAAAGACACAGTAGAGTCAATAAAAACAACTCTTGTTGCTTCTTTCTTTTTTTTTTACCTAGTATATCAAAGTAAAGTTTTTAATAGTCATTCTTTACTAAACTTGCCTCAGATTAGTTTATGGATATAGTATTACTACAAAGCATAGTTTAAAACTAAACTAGTTATTATATTATTAGAATTTTCAAAATTTATAGCAAAAGAATATCTATTTGATGATGAAATAGCTTCTAAATTTGTCAATATTCAGGAGTACTGGAATTTTTTTATAGATGCTATAAAAGAATTAGGCATACTTGCAATCTATTTATTCTCAATTTGTATTAATTCCACATTATATGAGTATCTATTTTCAACAATAGGCTTTTTTTTTTTTTTTTTATTAAAGTGACTTACATTACCAAAGAAATTTTATTAGAGTTGTCAATAAGATTATATATTGATAATCTTTACTGTTTATAATTACATGAAGAATGTATAACAAGCTATACATATAACTTTAGTTATTATCTATTTTAAGTAGTCTGCTACACAGACATTAGGCTACCTAATTGGTTCTACACTATGCTGCTATATCTGTAACTCATCTATGAGTTATCTATTTAAATACTCTATTCATTAACCTATACAGATTTAACCTAATGTCACTACAACACCTAACTGCTTAAGCTAGCTAGCTCATTACAGATCTATTTATTTAGAATGGTTTAGGTCCTCTTAAGATATATTATACTAGATATATTGCTAGCATTGCATAGCTAGTTAATCTTAAAGCAAATCTACTAAAGTAGTCTGTACTCATTTTACAAATTTACTTAGCTTAGATCTTTGTAGATATTTGTATAACCCTAGGTTCTACTGTGGTCCTCTACTAGTTAGTTGACTAGTTCTTTTTTAGTATTCAACTAATTCTAGTTACTCTTTACCTGGAGACCTCGAAACCCTCTATCTTTATTAGACTAAGTTTTTTTCTTGGATCAGACTTTAGTCAATGTAGTCTTGTTAGAAGGCTGTACTACTTCACTGACTCAGAATTTCTACTATGCAGATTCCTTGCTTATATATTTTATCAAGATTTATTTGTATAATATTATGTTATACTTCTAAGTTTTGATCGATTTAGTACAACTTAATTTACAGAAGTATACTTCTAAAAACAAACAGGGTTTACTGTAATGTATTACAAGGTTTGAAAATTATTCAAATTCATTAATAGTAAGATTTGAACTCCAGACCTATTGTATTCTGACAACCTAACTACTATACTAGGTCATCAGATCTGAACAATAGGCTTTTTTCATAACTTACAATGTACTAGATTACTAGTAAAAAAAATTTATATTAATATATATATTTTAAAATTAAATACAGCTATACGTAAAAATTTAATTAATTGGTTTCATAACCTGACTAGGTCAAAATTTACAAAACTTGAAAAAAATTTCTAAATATACTTACTATTCAAGTGAGTTTTTTTAAAAAATTTATAAAAAATTTTATATGTTTTTTATATATTTAATTTTTTAAAAATAAAATTAAAAGCTGAATTGTCAGGTCATTTTTGAAAATTTTATATTATAAAAACTGATTTATTAAGTTTGTATAGCCTAATATTGATATTTTTAATGAAATTTTTTATTCTTAGCTTTATAAAGTTTTTTCAATAATACAAATATGAGCTGAAATTAATTATAAATATACTATTGAAGTAGCAAAATCCCTAGAGCAAAATATATTAACAAATATAAATAATATATTTGGTTCTGATAATCATAGACACAAACAACTGAATTTTCATAATATTGAACAAGAAAGTTCTGATGTTATAGATTTAGAAAGTTCTGATATTATAGATTTAGAAAGTTCTGATATTATAGAACTAGAAACTAATAAAAATAAAGAAATAATTATTGAAAATAATTCAGAATTAAGTGTAAATAAAGATATTAGTGAAGAATAGAAAGCAGTTCTTAAAAAATAGTTTGAAGTCTTATTTCTGAAGAAGAAAGTATAGAAGAATATAAAAATTTGTTTAAAATAAATGAATTGAAAGTAACAGAGAAAACAGAAGATTTATCTTTTTTTTTTTTTTTTTTTATATACAAATGCTATCGGCTGAATTTTTTATTGGTATTGATAGTGAGTAAATG